AAAAAAAAAAAATGATTTCCAACCTTGAGTATTATACCTAGCTAAGGTGTCAATCCAATATCAGACATGCAAGGTCCTAAAAACAGTTTAATTCCTCTGACCTTTCTAAGGCAGTTACTGGAGGGTCTGCTCCATGAAAACCAAGGATTAAATCAAGACAAGGAGTCAAGTACAGGAAACAGGACTCCTGACATAGGAGAGAGGTAAAGAAATTCTCCAAGATGATGGTGAAAAGAATTGCCAGGATGACAGCTGAGTCTTTAGTGTAGAAGACTGCTAATGAAAAACAGGTCAGTCAGTTCCTAGAGAATTTCTTCAAGAAAATGAAATTGAGGCCAGGTGGCTGTGGCTCATGCCTATAAGCCTAGCCCTCTGAGAGGCCAAGGTGGGTGGATTGGCTGAGCTCAGGAGTTTGAGACCAGCATGAGCAAGAGCAAGACCCCATCTCTAAAACTAGCCAGGCATTGTGGCAGGTGCCTGGAGTTCCAGCTACTTGGGAGACTGAAGCAAGAGGATTACTTGAGCCCAAGAGTTTGAGGTCACTGTGAGCTATGACCACATGGCACTCTACTGAGGGCAAGAGAGTGAGACTCTGTCTCAAGAAAATCAATCAACCAACCAATAAAATTGATAAGCTATCTAATGTAATTAGTATCTTAAGACAATATATAGATAATTGATTAATAATATAGTCTCATTACTACATAGTTAGAAAATTAAGCAAAATAACAACCCAAGAAAATTTTCATTTCCTGGGAAAACAGAAAGCTATACAGGAAAGGAAAAATAATCACAGTTTATTGTCCTCTTCAACCCAAATTAGCAATCATAGTAATAAAAGTGTAAATACTAAATATTGATCTTTTAAAAAGTCTAAAATACAACTGTACTTAAGGATGGTGGATAAGAAATATGTATGGTATAGGCTGGGGGAGAAAAGAGAGCGAAATGCTTATCTCTGTAGTGGGAAATTCATTGATAATGCCTAAAACTAAAAAGTCTACAAATAGCAATTGAAAGTGTGATATTTAGAGATATGGAAGGAAATACCCCCCAAATTAGCTAACAAGAAGAAACGCAGTTGCTTTTGGAGGGAAACAAAAGAAAAGGGGTAAGAACTGCGTTTTCTTTTCCTTAACATGCTTTATAAAGCAAATGGATTCCAAGTGTATATATAAAGTTAAAAAAAAGTTAAAAGATCAATACAGTGATAGCCCAGTGACATAGAGTTGGGAAGAGAGTTAAGGGGAAAGAGCAACAGAAAGAGTAGAGCAGGAAAAGAGAAGGTAGGATTGAGACTTCCTTCTGGGAGGAAGGAAAGTCGTTGAAGAGGACTGATGGGGAGGAAAATCTGAAAGGGGAGGTGAAGTTAATGACAAAAGTGGCTTGAGGTGAGAGGTGAATGGTGGAAAGGAGGTTAGGGAAGGAGCAGGCTGGAGATGAGGCTGGGTGAGGCACTTACCGGAGCCTCGGACATGAGCACTGGGTGCAAGTTTGGCTCAGACTTGACGTGTTTGCTGTAGGTGTGATCCAGGATGGCTCGGAAGCACTCCCAGTCCTCGACTGGGGCCAGAGATCAGCATGGAGAGATGCAGATGGGGCAAGCAGGGGACAAGGACAGGAAGGAAAGGAGGGAGACCAAGTCCAAGGGAGGGTGGGCCCAGTTCCACCAGGGAGGCCCCCCCATCCCAGGAATCTGGTGGGTCCCAGAGGTGGGAGCCAGACAGCTGTGGGATGCAGTGAGGAGGTCCCTAGGACTTGGGCAGCTGCAAGGAAGACTGGGTGTGGGGGTGCTGTGTCCTAGGTTGTGGGGAGTAAGTTCAAAATTTGTGTCTGAAGGTGGGGGTGGGGGCCCCTTACTCATGCCATTCTTGAGAGGTGACATGACCTCCGCTCCATCCCGAGGCACATGCAGGGCATTGGTGTCAATGTGGAAGATCTTCCCTTTCTTCTCTTTCTCCCCCTCCAGTTCCAGCCCGCCCCCCTCCTCTGCGGCCAGCAGCCCCACTGTGGTGGGGAAGTCAGCCTGAGGGAAGGATGGATGGGGAGAGGGATCACCTTCTTACTCCAGTTCAGCTCCGTGGTAAGCCCTGAGCCCACCCCTGGGTTTATTCCCACATTCTCGCTCTGCAGAACATCTAGGCTGGACTGTGAGAACTCTTGAGTTACTGGAAAGCCTGGAGGGGAGTCTGGAGCTCCTAGGATTTGGGGAGGGGGCTAGAAGGCTCACCTTGGGACAGTCCTCCCCAGCATACCCAGCGCGGACTGAGAAGGAGCCAATGTCAAAGACCAGCGCCCCCACCTCATCTGTGCGGGGAGACAGGAGTGTGAGGGGACCTCCCTCAAACTCTCTCTCCCTAGGTAGCTCCAAGAAGAGGTCAGGGAAGAGCCACAGCCTTGCCACCTTCAATACTGGGCCACGGCAGGCGGGAGCTAGGCTTAGAGTCCGGAGTCCTGTAGAGTCCGGGGTCCTGGCAGTGGGGGTGGGGGTGGGGTGGGGGCGTGGGTCAAGCTGCCAAAGTCGCTTCTTGCTCAGTGGCCTTGCTCAGGCCACTGTCCTGACAGGGAAGGAAGGGGCCAGGGACCGGGCAGAGGTGGGTTGAATAGTGGAGAGGTTGGGCCCGGTGCACGCTAGGCGTCCTGTGAGAACCGGAGGTAAGGGTAGGAGGTGCAGGACTTAAGCCTCAGACTGGACACGCTCGAGTTGCCGAGCTGACAGGCCCCGGGGTGCCCAGAGCTTGGACCGCGCGGGTTCGGGGCGCAGGGCAGCGGGCGAGGCCGCGCCGGGCTGGGGAGCCCAAAGCCCGAGGCTCGCTCACCTCCGCCGTAGACACCCCCGCTCATAGTGCCCTCTCTGCACGGCTCGCGGCCCTTGGGCGGCGGCGGGATCAGCACCGAGGTGGCCGGACAGCTCCCGGGATCCCGGGCGGGGAGGGGCGCGCGGCGACCAATCGGGAGGCCAGATCCCCCGCCCCCCACAGCGCCGCGGATTGGTTGCAAGGCGAGACAATAACCCGGCCGGGGTCCGCCGCTTTAAAGGGGCAGACTCCTCCGAGTTAGGCGGAGGGGAGGCGATGGCGAGGAAGACGAACCGCAAGGTCGTAGAGACCGGCCCTAAGAATAGCCGGCAGAAAGGAGAGCAGGAAAGAGGAGACCCTATCCATCTGGGGAACCGGACTCCGCAGGATAACTGATGGGACCCTACTCCCTTACTTTTTAAAAGGGGGTCGAGGAAGTAAGCGCAGAAGTTCCGGAGGGTCGCCCATCCTCAGGCTCCGAAACTAGGGTCAGCCACACCCAGGCCTGAATAAAATCACCAAAAGTGGGAGGGAAGACCGAGAGAGCGGTACCAGAAGGGGTGTATCTCCATCTCTCCCGTTATTTTTCCTCCTTTGTCTTTCTGATGGCCCTTCATTTCTTTCTTCGCCCACTACCTGGTGCCTGAAACTTACACATTCACACGTGTACACAGGATCACACACAGGCACTCAGGTAAAACGGCCTTAGTTCCATTTCCTCTCTCTCTCTCTTCAGCACCCTGTTCTCCTGTGTTTATCAAGAGAGTTTTCTACTAGAAGACTTCCAAGTTCTTCTGGGCTCCTGGCACCACCAGCTGAGCAGTTTGGTAGCAAAGGTGACGGAGCAGCTCTGACAACCTGGGTGAGCTGAGAGATTCTTATGTGAGCGTGTGTGTAGATGTGTTCCTGTATGTATGTATTTGTGTGTGTGTACATATGCACGTGTGAATACATGCGTGTGTTTGGGGACATTCCTATCTACTTGTTTGAGGGTAGGGAGAGCACTGAGGCCAAAGATCTCACAGAAAGAGGGTACTTTGTGACAACCACATGTTCCTGAAGGTTCTCTGCTCACCAGATGCCCACTGTGTCAGAGACCCCACAGTTTTCAAGCCAAAGGACAGATGGTTTGAGCTGGTTCTTTGGTTACTACTGGTGACAGTGGCATTTCACATGCCCAGGGTTGGTTCAAAGTTCAGGTGTGCCATCACCTACTGAGAAGGTCCAGGTTTCAAAGGAAGGGGCAAGAGGAGGGGAGAGCTGACTCAGGAGCTGGGAGATTGAGATTTTCTCTAGTGACCCTAGGTTGGCAAATAACCTCTCTATAATATTTAGCCTTGGTTGAATTAATTGGATGAGGCTCTTAACCTCTTTGTACTTGCATTTCTAGATCTTTCAAAATATAGAGGTGAGAATGAAAGGAATGCTGAAGGGGAAAGTGATTTTATTCATGACTTGTACTTCTCCTTCTAATGATATTAAATGATGTTGCCTCACTTCCTGTGGAATTCATCTTGTCAATTCCCACTACTTCTTCTCCTCTTCCCTCTAACTACCTCATTTCAGATTCAGAAACTTTCCCACTCAGAACTCTTACTGATCATGGATATAATCCTAGGATTTTTTTTCTTTGAGACATGGTCTCACTGTTTTGAGCAGAGTGCAATGGCTCAATCATAGCTCACTGTAACTTCAAACTCCTAGGTTCTGCTGGGTGTGGTGGCTCACACCTGTAATCCTAGAACTCTGGGCAGATGAGGTGGGTGGACTGCACTTAGGAGTTTGAGATCAACCTGAGCGAGGCTGATGTAAGAGAATCATTTGAGCTCAAGAGTTTGAGATTGCTGTGAGCTATGATGATGCCGTGGCACTCTACCCAGGCCAATATAGTGAGATTCTGTTTCAAAAAAACCAAACCTGGGTGGTGCCTGTGGCTCAAAGGAGTAGGGCACTGGCCCCATATGCCAGAGGTGGCAGGGTTCAAACCTAGCCCTGGCCAAAATCTGCAAAAAACAAACAAACAAACAAAAAACCCAAACCAAACCAAACAACAACAAAAAGAACAAACCAATACTTCTGAGCTCAAGTGATCCTCTCAGCTCAGCCTTCTGAGCAGCTAGGACTACAAGCATGCACCAGCATACCTGGCTACTTTTAATTTGTTTGTAGGACCTAGTTGTGTTGCCTAGGCTGGTCTTCATCTCTTGGCCTCAAGCAATCCTACCTTGGCCTCCCAACCACCCCCAGATTTTATAGACATAGTTCATAGGAGCCAGAGGGGGGACAAAAACCAACATCTGTTATCAGCGAGTTGAGATATTACCTTATCTCAATATCTCTGAGTTCCTCAGAAAGCTTTGCTGTCTCCATCCATGCGATAGCTGGTTGTGAGGACTCCATGCAATGCGAGAATCAGTGCCTGGTTGAAAGCTAGGCACATAAGAATATTCACGGCTCGGAGCCTGTGGCTCAAGCGATTAGGGCGCCAGCCACATACACTTAAGGTGGCGGGTTGGAGTCCCCAGCCCAGACCCGCCAAGCAACAATGATGGCTGCAACCAAAAAATGGCCAGGCGCTGTGGCGGGCGCCTGTGGTCCCAGCTACTTGGGAGCCTGAGGCAGGAGACTC